AATGTGAGTTTTTCATTGATAGCTCAAATGCTTTAGCCAATTTCAATGCAATTTTCATGGTATTCAAACAATTTCTAATTACTAGACATCTACTGGACCAATTATACAAGGTGTTTTTGAAATAAGTGCACATATTCAGCACATTAATATGATACAGTCTATGGAATATTTCCATGATATCAGATTTTTTCTAATTTTTCTAATTAACGAGAAATTTCATCCCAAAAATTGAACAAAATACGAGGAAAAGATCAAGTACGCCACTTTGAAACAATTTGAATTTGAACAGAGGTGACGTCAGATTTGCTACAGTGTAGAACTTTGGGTGGAAAAAGGGGTCTAACCTCAAATTTTATTTTGATCCCTAATTTTTTTTTATTAGTGCCATTCGATAGTGCATGTCGAGCTTTCTCAGTGTTAGAAATATTTGCACTTATTTCAATGCCACCCTGTATATAGTTGATATATATAAAATTCCAAAAATTTTAAGAAATCACTATTTTCGAATATCCGATCGAACTCCCTGAGAAAAAAAGGGATGCACGCCGATGCCTTCGCCGTTTCCGGTGTCGCTGCCAGTCCGGAAACGAGGCACGTGGATCTTGTGCCCCCCGCGGATCCAATTCGGGGCCGTTCCAGATATAGATAGATATTCAGAGACAAATTTTCCCATCAGTGCCAAGAAAAAGAAGGTGGTATGCTAAGGGGGGAACTCGGGGGGGAAGAGTCTCTCCGAAAACTAACAGATAGAAAGCGTTGATGTTAACTAGCGTCTAGAGACAGGCCGCAACAATATATTTGTATGTGGAACCCATCTAGAAACGCAGTTTTTTTGCACAATGTAGACAAACACCAATAATGAACACTTATATTATATTGCATAATGTTGCAGAGAAACAACAATAATAAATCACGACATTATTTCAATAAGACAATGCCTTTTTCACAAACAATATACACATCGGAAACTGACTCACCATATCTGAGTGAACTTATGTATATCTTTGCCAAACAACTTTTTTATGCTCAGTGAACAAACTGTGAATCACGGTAGTCCAAAGCATTGTTAACAACATTCTGGTCATTTGTGAAAAAATTGCTAATAGCGCCACCTGCAAAATCTTTGTAACATTTCCTCCATGGCTTGAATGTTGTAGAATCACAACAGCATGCGAAATTTCAATAATTATTAATTTGTTGAGTTGCAAGAAATTGAATTGAATATGTTGAATACAGGGTAATCCACGGTGGATGGCCTATTAAATGTATCTGGAGAACGAAAAGACAAAACATTCTGAAAATTGAGATGCTTTGATAATTGAACATTCTCTATCCGTCTGAAATATTTCCATCGATACAATGTTGCCACTTATATCAGAAACAACTAGCAACTTTGTTATTTCAAATGGAACACCCTGTATTTTATTGCATTTTTAGATTCTCCCCGAAGAGCTGATTCCATCAATGCACACAGAGATATAGGGTGTTCAAAATCGAGATTTTTCAATTTTAGGATTTTTTTGTGTCGATACTATTCATCATCGATCAAAACGGCTTACATGTCCCAATCTCAACTTTTGATTCACTCTCTACTTGAATTTAATCGGAAAAAATACAGGGTGCTTCAAGATTCAAAATTCTGATCACCTTGTATATGTTCCAATCAAATGTCAGTAGATAGTGTATCGGAAGTCAACACAGGGACATGTGAGCCGTTTTGATCGATAATGAATAGTTTCGACACAAAAAAATCCTAAAATTGAAAATCTCGATTTTGAACACCCTCTATCTCTGTAATCATTTTTGCTGGACCTCAAGTGTGCCGCATTGATAAAATCAGCACTTCAGGCAGAATCTAAAAATGCAATGAAATACAGGGTGCACCATTCGAAATAACGAAGTTGGTAGTTGTTTCTGATAGAAGTGGCAACACTGTATAGATGAAAATATTCTAGACGGATAGAGGATGTTCAATTATCGAAGCATCCTGATTTTCGGAATGTTCTGTCTTTTCGTTCTCCAGATACTTCTAATAGGCCATCCACCGTGGATCACCCTGTATTTACAACACTATGCAGTGAAGGGTTAATTGATATTTTGAGTTACAAGGAATATATGAATATAAAAACAACTTAACTCTTAACAAAATCGTGAGGAACGATCATATTTAAGAAAGGAGACTACTATCCTTCTTCATAGAAAGTACATTTTTCGTAATGAGACTAATGGTTCTAAACAATCTAACCTTGCTCGACCTTAATGAACCTTCATTCTTTGAAGTATTTTTTGTTAACACCGCGCGATCCATCGATCGAAGAATCCTTTTCAGAACAATCGAGGCACTGCGCGCTATTGACCTACAGCCCTAAATTAAGGCAAAGTTGCGCAATTTGATGCTGATTTGAAATGATATGACAAAATGAGTTCCATATTATTGCCAGTTTTTCCGCTCTATCCAATTGTATTAATATATTTGTGATCCGACGTTTCGTCTTCGTGGAGCCATCAACTTCGTTTTTATAAATAGTTTAGAAAACAATTATTTGTCACCGAAAAATTCTGATTCCAATTCTGAATCCAATGACTTATTACACGTCACAATAATTATTATCCGATAATTCGAGCCAAAAAATCATCATTAGTCTTATTCGATGATGACTACGAAGAAACGAAACGTCGGATCAATAATCTGATGAAGGCATCTCGTAGAGAAGAAATATGTCTGAAAAAATGGTGTATCTCTTTTAGTAAAATGAAAAAAAAATATTTCGTAGAATTAGAAACTTCGAGAATAACTTTCATTTTATTTTACTTAATAGATAAACCAAAATAAATTGACATTTTCGTAGCCATTTTTCCATCTCTACAAGTTGTCGTGATCAGATTTTTGATCCGACGTTTCGTTTTCTCCGAGGTTTTCTCGTAATGTCATCAAACCAAACTGATGATGATTCGCAGCTTCGAAACGTTGAGTAATTGTTGAGTGAATGGGCTTTTATCACAAAAAATTTTTATTCCATAATTCGATAGAACTCACCCAAACTAGCTCACCACCGCAAACCGTTTATCGCTGTGAGCTCCCTACGTTTTATAAAAAATTATTGAAATCCCCGATTTTTCGGACCTCTGAAATCGAGGCGATGATGTGACGTCAAAACCCTAATACTGAAACAGGACTATTCCAGACAGAGATGAATGATACATGATTTCTAGCAGAGTGAATTAGCGCGAGATCACAGTTGAAAGAATTAATATATCAGTTGCCTCAGTCTCCGTCCGGCATTTGGTATTTTCTTTTAACTATGGCGAGATGAGGTTTCTACGTCATAAGAGGGTCCGTTTTCAGATGGTACTATTATTTATGTCCAAAAATTGAACATTCCAGTGAATTTTTCGATCGAATTATGTCGTCAATCATTATTTATGTATGAAAGGATCATTATAAACATGCTTGAGTTAAAAGTTCTACCAAGGTGTACACGTCCACAAAGTTTATGATGGCTCCTCGAAGACGAAACTTCAGATCACAAATCTATTGAACATTATACTACAAGGGAACTATGGATTGATGAGAACCCAAATTACGGATTACCCACATGATTTTTTGCGCACCACAAGTTTAACAAATTATCTTCTTGAGCCAATGCTGTATATAGTCACCCTTGATAAAAGAAATAGGGGACTTCGCTCCAAGTTGCGCCAACCTAAAAACCCCTATTATACCACTGTATAGAAGCAATTATAATATGTAAGTTTGATTACCCAAATATCTTTATTTTGGTGAAATCTGATTGTAGGAGTCTACTCAGCTTTCTGATAAGTTATTCAGAAAAAAAAGTGTTTGTAACTTTACATCTGACAGTCTGAATGTCAGTACATGGAATATCAATAGTCACTAAATCATTAAGTTCGAATCACGTTCGAACTTCGAATAATGATCAAGAAACTATCATTAGAAACGAGCAAACCTATAATAAACTGGATGTGAGGGTTCCAAAGTTATCTGTTCAGGGGCTACCGAGGGCTACTCTCGACTTGTCATAATGGTAATCAACCTAACATTGTTATTAGGTCTTTGTATTCATTTTCGTTCATTTATATTTCCCCTCAAATAGTCTAGTGATTTCAGCTACCCACTATCTATGTATAAGTATTTGAACAAAGGTATGTTATTTTTATATTGTTGTATTCCAACATTTGTGATATGTATATCTCTATTATTGAAAACTTTGACCAGTTTTGATCCAAAAGGTGAGCCGTGTAAGCTTTGAAAGGATTTATAGAATGAATTCTTTTCCCTATTGTTATATGTTTACTAAGAAAAAACTCATTATTATATATGGGTATGTTTGTGTTTTTATTTTTATGATATCGACTGTGGATATCTTCTTTCTTTGTTTCCACACGCCCTTATGGTTTAATCAATTTAAAGACACAACCCAAGGAGTTGTTTTTCATTACAGGAAAGGGTTGAAACATCATTATTTTATTCTTACGAAGTCTTGTCTCGATTTGTAGCACTCAAATTATTTAATATAATCCTTCTTCCTACTACAACGAACAAAGTTCTGTACCAGATAATCATAAATAATACAGTTGTCCAGAAAATAAAATAATCTTAAATGTGTAACATGAATGTGACAATGAAATTGACGACGATAAGACATATTTCAGAAAGAAAGCAGGTGCATCAACATAATTTTCAACTAATCAGAACTGGAGTTCACAAAGTTTCTGCTGATTAACTTCTATTAGTGAGCTGAATAGAATCCAACAATCAGATTTCATCAAAATAAAGCCATTTGAGTAATGAAACTTCCATAATGTTGCTACAACATTGGTAGAGGTTTTCAGATTGGTAACTTAGAGCGAAGTCCCCCTTTTTGTGTGTGACCGCGCTGACGCAAAAATAATGCGTGAGCGTGATAACAGCCAACCTGGACGACGAATCACCCTGTAGGTATATATCCAAATCCAACGATAAAAATATTCTCACTCACCGTCTCCGATGCCGACGAGGGTCTTCATGATTTCCGGCAAATCGGCCGCCAAAATGTCCGCAGGACAATTCTTGAATATATCCTGCACCAATCTCACCACCATCTGTCTGCAAACGAAACCGAACGTCAGTAATAATCATTATTATGGCACCACAAACACAATCATAATTCGAAAAATATTCTTCTATGGGACACGCCATTTCGATTCGATAACGTCACCCCGCACGTCACGTCACGTGCTGTTCAGGGTGCTTCTTGAGCGCGATAGAGAATTGGCGGGAAAGTGTGTGTATAGGGCAAAGAACGGCTTAGGGAAAGACGCTGAGAAAGGTGCGTGCGCATCATCGAGATCTTGTCAGTGAATCGTTTAGAGATAGGTGAGACGAGCGGAACAGTGTTGCCGATATTGTGGTTTCAGCATTAATAATAATAAATGTTTTTTTTCTGTGACGGAAAAAAAGTTCGAGATTTCATCTCTTTTGACAGGATATGAAATATCACTTTACATAAATTACTTTTTTCCACGAGATGAAAGTGACTACTATTTTCACGGATATATATCACATGAATATACTCTGTTGATGGCTTTTGTTGTGCTATAGTGCCGAAAATTAAGCCAATAACACCGTCTCCAAGAAAGAACTGCAAGTCTTTTTATCTTATCCACTCGACTTCGCGGTTACGTAATTTACTACATAATATAAACAATCACTGAATTCGCAATTTTTGAAAATCAAATCACAGAATAATTATACTGACAAATATTTGATTATAGTTCAAAACAATGATAAAAAAAGTTATTTGTAACTATGTCATAGTGAGCTACGACCTACATTTGAAAAACTAAAGTTGGTGCTGATATCTCAAATTCTAGAAGAGTTGGTATAAATTTCAAATTTTTTTCGAAATCACTTTGAAAAACTGCCATGAGAATGTGAAATTCCCATTTGAATATTTTCATAAATAAAGAAGTTACGAAGGAGACATGAAAATCTGTTTTTTGCGTATAAAACAAAAACGAATAGATTTTATCAAAATATTTTTTCACTTTATAGTTGGCCTTGACAAACTCCACATTTGGTGTCATTTAACCGACCTCGTATCTCTCTCCGTTAAAAAGATACCCATGGTGAGCATGGTAAGTGGGACACACTGTATACGAACTTTTCTTCTTATTTGGACGTCAGCCACCAGCATGCGCTGATGGATTTTATACACATACTTAAAAAACACCCCGTATACCAAATTTTAGAAAATTATGTTCTAGTGAATATAAACTATATATATATAGACACCATATATTTTGATAAAACGAAATCTCTTTGTTTCTTAATTTACTCATATATAATAATAATATATATGCACTGATAAAAATACCCGATTGGTGACAAAAGAATGATGCTTTTAGATTCTTTTCTCTCCTGACAAAGACAATTTCTTCCTTTCAAATACATTGCCCTCATCTGCAGATTATTGCTGTTTTTGTAATAAGGTTTTGAATCTTTTGGCTGTAAACGCTTTTGAGAGAACATCATCGACCTTGTCTCTAGTCCTGCTTGGTTTGCATCCACCTCAAGATCACAAGACTTTGATACAAGATCTGAAATCGTTCGGTTGAGACCGTTGATGAGATCGAGTCCACCCGAGGTTAACCGAAAACATACCGACTCCGTTTGAGTCATGCGCAATGCATGGGTCGACCCCATCTTATCATCATCCTTCTTCTTCTGCATCGTGTCGAATACCGTCCCGTTGCCAATGCATTTTAGCGGCCATATCTGTCGTGTAGCGTTGTGCTGTGGATCATGAGCGATTCAGTGGAGTTTGAAAAACTTCTAGATGCGTGGCGTTTGAGCCATATGATGCAAACATTTCAAGGTAAGTACCCACCTATACTTATTTCAGTAGATAGGTATTTCATCATCATATAAAAGGTTTCATGTGTTATTTTTATAAAATAAATGAGTTTTTTATCAATGGTTGTTTTTTCAGGATTTCCACAATTCTTCGCCCAAGGATAAATAAGAAGCTAAAACAAGTTGATGGGATATTTGAATTTTCAAGTATATTTCAACCAATGCAAAACGTTTTTCGTCAGAACATCATAACTAAATCTAATATCAACAAACCAATAATGGGGTTTTGTTAAGGATTCATAATAACATGATCCTCAAAATTTTTATAGAAATCAATTGAAATTCTAATTATTATTTCAACATTTTACAGGAGTGTCCTCTCAAGAAATCTCCAGAGAATTTGCATCAAGATCATATAAATTTTGTTCCAAGACCATAAGATATTGGATCAAACATTTGCTGTATTTACAGCGAAGCCCTATATTTCAATACAATAATACCATATCTTTCCTCTTAAATCTAATAACTTTGAAATGATATCTCAATGATTTTGACCAAAAATCATTGTTCATTATGATAAGTTCAGGGTATTTTGCTATAAACTCATATATCATTGGGCTAAAGAAATCATGGCAATTACCTCAACATTCCCCATAAGTTGGGAAAACTACGATTTTAAGCCAAAAGCATTAGTTATTAGGGCAAAACCAAAGTGTCTTGCCTCGAATTTATATAATTTCATGCTAAAGAAACTTAGGCGCTTGCCTCAAAGTTTTTGGAATATTGGGTCGAAATGTCCATGCATTCCGCCCTATTCAAATGCTTGGCGCCCTTGAGGTAAAGTCAAATTCCTTCAATCCAAGGAATCCTTTTTATCAGTGTGCCTCAATGTGTTGCCTAATCGTATTTTCTGAATTGATTCGGCCGTTATATTATCTACTTGCTGGAAATCCATAGTGAATGTAAAAACTTCACAAAAGATAAGATTTCCACAAAATTCATAATAACACGACGCATGTTTCGGTATAACAGTAAGTAGCTTCTTCAAGTGAAATACTGGTACAAACATAATTATATAATACATATTAATATACATTTGTACCTATATACGAAACATGTCGTGTTATTAGGAGTTTTGGGAAAATTTTTTCGATTGTTAAGTTTTTTACACCTAATCGTATCGTTATCGGCGTTTGAGTTGGCAACACTGGCTGGGTACAAATATCTCCTACCTCCAACTGATCTCTTGGAATTTTCGGAGGTGTAACGTGTACCAACCGGAAATGGTTATTTTTATATGCATAAGGACCGTTGAAAGATGTTTTAGACAAATTATTTCCTCTTACCTATAAAATAGCCATATTGTGCATGTCCTATTTCCTATACTGAGGTATAACTAAATCTCTGTTTTTGATGGTACACGCAGAAAAAAGAATGGTACAAACGACTATAGAATCGCTGTATATCTTATACCAACGAAAAACGTTATGAATATATAGGTATAGGAACAAACTTTCGTATTAGCAGTGAAATATACTCCATGAATACGTTGAAATAACTTATAACTAGGTACCTACCTATACCTGTTATTAGGAATCGTGGTGAAACTAAATGCCAAAAGTTTAAATCAATCAACACCAGGATCCTGCTAAAATTAACATAATTTTTTATCTCTGGGAACGCACGAGAGAAAATTTCTATAATGTTCGTGGAACATCGCGCGTACCTAGGGAGGACATCAGGAAAAGGAGGTATAGGTGTTGGAATTTTTTTCGAACTTTTGGATGTTATGAGTTCTTGGGAATACTTCCATTGACAAGAAATATTAAAGCTCCGTCGTTCTATATACCTAGACGAACGAGTTTTGGTAGAGTGCTGTTCGACATTTTTCAAGGTTAACGACGAAAGGATGTGCTGACTGGGCCTGTCGGGTTCGTCTGACTGCGGTGTTGCTATAGTGATGGAATTATAGCATAATCTCAATTCCTGAAACTGCATGATTTCTCAAATTTCAATATTTTCATACATTTTATACCAATATGCATAGATACTTTGTTCAAGTTTCACGAATAAGAATTCTTCTGTATTCGATGTAGCAGGAGCCAATAACATATATTTGAAGGAATTATTAATCTCTGGAATGTTTAATAAACTCTGGAATAACGAAAATACCACCTCCTCGATTAACCGACAGATAGTAAGTATTATATTATTTTACTTGGAACATAATAATTATCATCGTGAAAATTATACCTCCGAAAATATACACATCCTGCTAATGCAATTTATTGGAAACTCGAAGATAATCATGATGGGTTATCTATCAGATAATTTTCGGTATAGACAGCCTAACACCCCACAATAATTCAAAACTCAAATAGGCACTGAAAGAGAATTTTCCAAAGAAATATTCCATATGCCCCTACTCTCAACCATCTCTCAACTATATTCTACTAGATGTTCGGTGCAGTGGCGGCTCCTCAGAGGAGGCAACGGAGGCTGAGCCTCCTCAGAGATTTTGATTTTATTTCCTGTTTTTAGTTGAATATTTTTGAATTGGCAACAGTGCTTGCCCACGCATCACGTAACAACATCTATAGGAGGCTAGACTCCGTCATAAATCGCAACCTACGCGCGCAATGCAAATGCCCGAATACGCCCGAATAGCACGTGTTTGTCGTGTCGCTTCGCAAATTGCGGACAAACGCGAGTGCATTGTTTATGTTTATGTTAGGTTCACGTTATAGGTTAATGGTTAGGGGCTCTATAAATTTCTGAAAAATGGGTGTTTTAAACGATTGCGATTTAGTGGAATACTGAATGGGTTCACCAAACCCAATCAGTGCTTTGTCTTATGAAGATAAATTGATTGTGAAAAACAAACGTCCGACACCGGAATTAAAAAATCTGATTGTAACAGGTAACAAACAAAATCGTTCGTTCAATTCTATAATTATAAAAAATATATCTGGTTGACGGGATCTGAGGTAAGGAATAAGCTATCTTTTGTTGGTACTGCGTATTATTTTCAACCGATAAGTCATCATGTTGGGGGCGATTAGGATATAATGATTTGAAAAATTTGCCTCGCGGATTGGATAACACTGCAAATCACAGGAACAGATCTCTTCAAGTATTACGTTCAGGTCGACTGGTAAACAGAATATCATTAAAGTTATTGATTTGGGTGAGTAGAGAGTTGTTTTTCACATCAAATCTCATATCATTCAGCCTCCTCTGTCATGAAAGTCACGAGCCGCCACTGGTTCGGCGACAGTGTTTCC